ACACACACACACACACACACACGCACACGCACACGCACACGCACACACAGGTCCATACTCTCTAGCTGTTGCAGGTTTTTTTCAGTTATTCTGAAAATTTTAATAAGTACGTTTTTTGTCATATATTAGCTAAATACATGTCTTCCTTTTAGTAATATTTACCTAGGGGCTGGAGAAACGCCTCAGCGGTTAGAAGCGTTTGCTGATCGTGTGCGGGCCAGTCCCGGGTTTGGTTTCCAGCACCCACATGGTGGCTTATAACCGTCTGCAGCCAGGGGACCTGATGCCCTCTTTTGACCTCCTTAGGTACTTTCGTATGTGGGGTTCACAGACATACACGCAGGCAAAACACTCGTATACGTAAAACAAATAAATAAATGTAAAACAGTTTTACCTAGTTTCTCTTTCTCTTTCTAGCTTGTGTTTTGTGTGTGTGCATGCTGCGAGCGTGCTCCAGAGCCACAGAGGCCAGGAAAGAGTCCCTTAGCCGGAAGTCCAGTCAGTTGTAAACTGACCAGCTGGGAACTGACCGATCTTCTGCAAGTACAGCGAGTGGTTCTAACTGCTAAGCTGCCTTTTCAGCCTCCAACAGCTCATCTTTCTGTTATTTAAAAAATTCCACACTCTTCTGAGTCCTTGCGTTTTAAGTGTGTCCTTTATAAATACAGAACACATACGGCTTTTCATTCTAGTCAAAGGATTCCTGCCTCTTCAGAGAAGGATTTAGGGTTTTGAAGTGTGCTTTGGGGCCTAGTATGACGGCTCACATCTGCCATCTCAGCGCTTAGAAGCCTGAGGCAGGAGATTCACCACACGTCTGAGGCTCACTTGGGCTACAGAGTGAGACCCAAGTCTCTCGTGAAAAAACAATAAGAACTCAACAGTGCAGTGGTCACTGGTGTGTTTGGGGGAGATTCGATCTAACAAGGTAACACACACTCATTCTCTTTGTACTCTTTGTGAATGATACATCCCATATGATGCTGTTACTGTGATTTTTCTGCCTCAGCTTATGTAGTTTTCCGGTTTCTCTTTATACTTTAATTTTAGTATTATTAAATTGTTAAATGTAATAATCATTGCTTTATGTATCAAAACTTATTTAGACTTACTCAGATTTTTATATCAATTTACTAACCACAGCTTGTTTCTAACTCCTTTTTTAGAAAAATATTTTTAAAATGTGTGTGTCTGTGTATGGGTGTACATGTGAGCGCATACCCCCCGTGTGTGTGTGTGTGTGTGTGTGTGTGTGTGTGTGTGTGTAAGCGTGTAAGCATGTGCCTACGGTGGCCCAAAGAGGGTACTGGGTCCCTTGAAACTGGAGTTGCATGTAGATAGGAGCTGCCCAGCACGGATTACAGAACCTGAACTTGGGTCTTCTCCAAGAGCCTCGGCTCACATGCCACACGTGTCACGGCCGAGCCGGCTCTCCAGCCCCCTAACTCCTTTGTCGATATTTAATTTCTTCCTCGTTAGAGTTTTTTGTTTTTTTTTTTTTTTTAAGTTATAGACCGGATGATAAGCTCTTAGTCTCAGCTTGGATGAGGGCGGCGTCATTGTTTTTCTGTATATTCTGAGGAGAGAATTTCTGGCCGACTGCCTTTTGCTTCGAGCAGTTTGGGGGTGTTTGCTCTTGGCCCCTGTGTCTGTTGGTGCTGAGCGAGAACCGCTGCCGGCCTACATTTGCAGCCTGACCTTTCTGTGTGGGCGCCACACATCGAGGGTGACACGCGTTACCCCTGAATGGTTAATGATAGATAGCATCCTGTTCTCCAGAAGTCTCCCGGCCAGCAGGCCACAGCAGGCTCCCACCTCTAACTGCAGTACACCGGGTGGGCTTTTATTCTCCCCTTACAAGACTCACTGTGCTTCCTGTAGCTCATGAGTCATGGTTTCTGGAGAGTTTGTTAAAAGTCCCTTTTTAAAGAAAAAAAAAAAACACCCAGGAAATGAGAAGTTAATAACTCTATCATCGAGTTAATGCACTCTTTTTATCAAACGATCTGACTGGCTCATACCCTCCCGAGCTCCCGTGGCTATTGTCAGGAATCATCAGACATGGAAGATGGACATTTTCTGAGACCTCAGTTCTCTGGGGCTTGCCTCAGCCCTTAGTATGTTTGCTCTTATTGGGTATCATGCATGTGACCTGTGCCTGGTATCTCAGGGAGACAGAGGCAGGAGACAGAGGCGGGAGACTGTGGGTTTTGAACCAGCATGAGCTTCATAGTGAGAAAACTACTTTCTTAAAAAAAAAAAAAAGTATATGGAGCAAGCACCAATAGTATAAAATATATTAAAGAATGGTCCCAGCCTCCAGTTAACAATAGCAAAGTCTAGCTCCCGCAACTTATGCTCTCCCTTTGGCCTCTGTTCAAATACATCCCGTCCCATCCCCATGCCTCCATCAATCCTTCTCTCCTCTCTTCCCTTCCATTGTCCTTCCCCCCTCTCTTATTCTCCCTCTCGCCATCTCCCCTTTTCTTTCTCTCTCCCTGTCCATTTTCTCTTAAAAAGAGAATTTCATTATGTTGTCCAATCTGGTCTCTGAAGACCTCCTTTGGCCTCTGCCTCTCAAGTGCTGGGCCTACAGGCATGTGCCATCATCACATCTGGCTTTTCTTTATCTCTAAAATATCCATCTCAAAGAGACACAGCAATGTAACAATGTAACGCTATTCTAAATATTCTATTGCATAAGATGCAGTAAGAAAAATTCAGGGAAGAGCTGTCTTCCCTGCTCACAACTTGCATCTTCTGCTCTAACTCATTTATTGAGTTTTTTTTTTTTTTAATTCTAGAGACTCCTAAGATATATTCCTAATATTTTAAGTTGATCTTCTCCCAAATAGCCTCCTTATCTATCTTCCTTCCTTTCTCTTTTCCTTCTTTCTTTTTTTTTTTTTTTTTCCTGAGACTGGGTTTCTCTGTGTAGCCCTGGATGTCCTGGAACTTAGCTGATACGTAGCTGGTTCGTATGGTGTTTGTCCGAATGTCAAGCTTTGGGCAGGAAGATGGAGTCTCTTGCTGACTCTGGCTGGCTCCTGCTTACTCGGCTTGCCATCTGGGGTTATGAGTTCATCTGGAGCAGCCTGAGCTTGCTCTCCAGAGCACTTCTGATCTCCAGGATCCCTGCCTTGACACTGATCGTTACACATTTGTGTCTGGAGTCCCTGGACCCCTGGGAGAGGGAGATCAAAAGCTTCCTACCCAAGGAGGTGAAGACCAAGGTGACAGTTCCCAGGGAGGCGTTTTCCTTTACCCTGTCCTCTTCTCTTCACCTCTCCTCCCCGGTCCCTGTCTCATGGAAGCACAGCATTAACACCAAAGCACGTTTCTTCGATGCTTAGTTTTTTTCTCTGCTTTTGGTCCCTGAGGCTTTCCTTCCTTGAGCTGTCAGCGCTGGCTTTCAAAGTGTATCAACTTCACTAGCTCCTTCTTAGCTGTGCGGGGAGCCCTCCAAGACTGCAGTGGATGTAGCAAACCTCAGATGTAGCGAACCCTCCCTCACCCAAGTGCTCCGCTTCGAGATGGACAGCAAAGCCAGCACAGACATCCTCTTCCTGCCTCTCAGATTTATCACAGGTCTGTCCTTATCTCAGGCTGCAGCAACGCCAGCTTCATTTCTTCCCTTACAAAGAGGACAACTGTCACATTTTCGCTCGCAGGAAAGCACGTCACAGCTCACACCTACTCTCTCTGCACGTCCTTATCCTGGCCACTATCACTGCGCTTGTGGTCTGGGGCTGTGACGAAGCAAAATTAGGGTGGCTTGCCCATCGGCGCTGCGATACTGTCACAGCCCATCTGATAACCAAGACTCAGTGAGTAACGGTCATCAGCCTAGACCGTGCTGATGTTCTAGAGACACGGGTAAGGAGGGGCCAGGGTGGCTTGAGAATTCCATCACACGCCTCGGCGGATCCTGCAGCCTGAAACTTCTGAGCCATTTAGCTCTGGAATTTCCTATTTAGCATTTTAATTTTTCTTACACCTCATTTGTTTGGGCGTGTGGATTCTGAGCACCCGCTCCCCCTCAGTGGACTTGCTGCCTGTAGTTGCTGTGCCGCTTGCTGGCACACCCCTTTAATATCAGGTGGATGAACCCGTGAAGCAGAAAACCACAGATGGGAGGGGGAGGGGCTAGTGTGTATTTCATCCAGGATTTTTATGTCTTTATTTGTGTTTCCGGGTTAATGATTCATATTTCCAAGACTTCCCCGGGTGGTTTTGTTAGTCATCTTGACCCTTTCGCCTGTCATAATGTCTGATGTCTGACATGGGAAGGCGTTATTAATACTTGAACCTAGGGCCTTGCATATGCTAGGGGTTTCCTTGACCTACACCCCCAGCTCTCTTCTTATACTAAAACCTTTATTTTACATGTGTGTACGTGTGGGTGTGTGCATGGTATAGATTTGTGCATGTGTGCTCACTCCTGCGGGCACACGTAGAGGCCGGAGGATGGCGTCAGAGTATCTTCCCTAGTCATACCTCCACATCATTTTTTGAGTCAGGGTTTCTTCTCACTGAAGAACACTGAAGCTCAGTGTTCTGGTCAAGGCTGGCTGGTGAGCCCCTGGGACCCTCCTGTCTCTGTTCCCAGTGCTGAGGTTATAGGCGCATGCTGCCGTGTCTGGCTTTTGCAGGGATGGTGGGATCTGAACTGGGGCCCGCAGCTTGGGCACCAAGCCGTTCCCCCACTGAGTGGTCTCTGCAACCTCCCTCCCTCCTATTGTTTTTGAGATGGAATGTCAGGCTGGGCTTGAACTCAGCCTGTGGTCCAGACAGGCCTTGAACCTGATTCCCCTGCCTCAGACTGACTCCAGAGTGGCTGTGGTTGAAGGTGTCCCTAGGCCTGGCTTTAAATTAATACTCTGTTCTTCTGCTCTTCTTTCTTTCTCCTGATGATGGGGACTCTTAAGCCTTTCAGCCTTCCCTGGTGCTCAGCACAGAGCCTTACACACAGTCAGCTTTTTTTTTTTTTTTTTTTAATACATGAGGTTCTTTTTATTATAAATCATTACAAGCTGCAGTTTGGACCCACACCCCCCTCCGCTGAAGCGGTGAGAGCTGAGAGCCTCGTGCTCAGGTTAATTGGGTGATTTAAAGATTCTTGTCCCTCCCAGCATGCCCAAGGCAGGGGTGATTCCTGCCTGGCAAGCATCTATTGGTCAAAATGCTACATTTTGAATTGACTGGCTATAGGAAGGTCCCCAAACCATTAATGGTCTGGTGTCCCTCCCTAGGAACACCAGATTCCTAGTTTCCTAGCAACTGTATCTCTAGTGGGTGGGAAAAAATGCAGTAGGACGGTCCTTCCCCTCAGGGCATTACTGGACTGCTCTACCTAGCTAGCCTTAGTTCAGGCCTTAAACTTTAATAACAACTGCTGATTTTTAATCTTTTGGTCTCTCATTTCCTCCTTTACCATGATCATTGGGTCTTCCAGATATGACCCCTTGTATTCTGTAGATTTATCTTTTTATAATGGGATCTGAGTACCATTAGTATATTGCTACCAAACATTTTTTTTTATGCGAGCCATCAAGCAATTTAAAATACAAGGCCCAAAGATAAAAAAAAATCAAAATGAGTAGGGGTCCCTTCAGGGTGGATATAGGGGTAGTAAGCCAAAGAGAACTATTATCCTTTTTTTTTCTCTAGTGTCTTTCTAGGCTTTTAGTCCAGTTACTGCAATATTAGTTTTCGTTTCAGCTAAGCAGATGCCCAAGATAATAGCTAATGTCAGGGAGCCAGCCCCTTTTGACTTAACATTTCAGCCTGCTAGGTGGGATTTTGGTGAAGATCCATCTTCTGGAGCTTCTTCAGTTATGACAATTGGACCATTGGCATCAGGGGCTAGGGAGGCCGAAATGCCAGTCAAAGGCTGGGCAATGGGGCAGTCACAAGCATCTGGTTAGTTGATCCACCCGAAGAGGCAGGGAGCAACCATGTCAGTTTCCAGGAAGTCCAGATTTCAGCTTGCAGTCCATAGCTGACCCTGGAACAGAGTCAAACAGGTGAAAATCTGCTGAGACAAATTCAGACTGGAGATAGAAGTTAAAATTTGTCTATTAAGTGGGAAAGACCAGGGAAAATCTCATCTGCAATCCCTTTGAGCTATGCCAGATCCAGGTCACATCCTGAAACTCTTATGATTTTTTTTGGTACACAAAAGGAAAATATATATTCAGCAAATCTAATATAACATTCTGGGAGTAACAGGTAAAACTGCATCCCACTGAATGAGTATCAGTTAGCTGTTTGTTTTATAACTTTATAAACAACTTAAGTGTGTCCATGGTCTGGAACTCTAACACTTCTTCTGTGGGCATAGCTGTTGGTAATCAGCCACCAATGGAGCTTGGCCATTTTTCATACATTCAGCATCTACTTTTAGCTCGCATCTCCATGTCATGCTGGAAATTTAGACAGAAATACATTAATGGCTCTCCTGCTAAACCCTGGATGCTTAGACTTTCCTTGACAAAGCAACTAGAAGAAATAGGTATAAGATATTTTTGTGTCAAAGTCTGTCTCAGAAATGGCAGATATTAAGAATACTATAGTAAAGGCTATGGCTTTTGGGTCAGATATACACATTAAATAGATGTTTTTAGCATGATGAGAAGTACCTTTAAATCTATCTTTAGAAAACAACCAAAGGAAATTAAAATTTCAAGCTGGTGACTGAATAATAAGCAGTCAGTGCTCCATTAACTTATCAGAACTCTATTGATCAATGCCAAAACTTCTGAAATCTTATAAGCACAACAGTAGCAAAGAGGGAAAATCTAAAAATATCTCCCATTTTTTATATGCTTTAAAATATTTTTATATCATTATAACTTACACTTATATACCTTAAAACATTTAGACTCTCTAGTCTTTTTTGCATTTATTAACCCTGAAACATTTTCCCAGACCAAATAACACTCTCTAGATTTTTACAACCTAAGCTCCATATTTTTTTTATCCATTTATTTATCTTAAGACACAGGCAACTAACATAAATCGTTGTGAGCAAGGCAAGCCTGTTTTCCTTTCTGAATAAGAGATCTAGTACCTAGTAGTTCTAACTAGCTAATGAACTGATCAATGAGCTAACAGTGGATCTAATTGTCTGCTCTCTAGCTGCAAAGCTACCATAAGCTTAGCATAGCCATTAAGGTGATCAGAGACCTGAGAAGGATAAATTATAAGATAAATAAATATACCAATCCATGTGCCAATCAAAATTACAGAGATGACTAGTTAGTTCATCACCTAGGCAGTGTCCCTGGCTCCTGTGATCTTATGACATCATGAGCAGAGGCGGTCCAGCTAGGCACAGATGAGAGACTGCTTCTGTGGAAAGAGGAACATGAGAGATTGACTTCACCTTGCCTTTCACAATGTGAAACAATAGCTCTCCAAGTGTCCATGGCTTTGTCCACAGTTTAGGCTGGGCCCTAGCAATGGGCCAGTTGAGGCAGTATTGTCCAGTGGTAGCATACCAAATCCAGAGTTACAGCCATCTGTCGTTGTGCCCAAATCTTCTCGGGATTTTGGGACTTTCTGTTGTAATAAACTTACACATGTTAAAATGCCATATTCATCAGATCTCTGACCAACTTGAGGGCCAGCATGTCTGAGTTACTCTTTGTCTATCTTTATCAACTGCTCTAAACACAGTCAGCTTTTAAGAAATGTGGGTGGGGAGAGTTGAAAGAGTAAATTCGACCAATGAGGAGCTTGGGGCAGAAACCGAAAGTGGCTGAAGTTTCCAGAAGATTGGTGCTGGTTAGGTGGATTCCAGGAGGACACCTCTCACTCACTCATGATGCTTTCTACAGATTGGTTCACAGATTAGCAAGACCCTCCTGTGATTATTGGAGCGTGTGCTTGTACCTGACAATCTTTTCTTCAGGTTCCTGGATAACACAAAGCCCAGAGTCCCATGCCTGATGATCCCAGAGTGGTCCTTGGTGGCAGGTGAGGTTGTAGGAGTGAGAGAAGGGGAGGCACAGAGTGAGGCCAACAAGGACAGAAATGCCCTATGAGTTTCTGTGCGGCCTTCTTGTGACCTGTGGGGCCAGTGATCTCCACTCCCTCCTTTTCTTACATTAAACTTGGACTCTGACTTGCTATGAACTAGCTGCTTTAGCTTTAGTTCTTTTACTATCAAAGAACAGAGAATCTTGGCTTAACTAGAGCCTTCCCCTGGCTTTCTGGGAGCTGGACTGAGAGGCAGTGGGAAGAGCCCTGAGCTGGGAAACAGGATCCCTTAGCTTCTGGCCATCCATCATTCGCCTTCTCTGGACTCAACTGAAGAGGACGACATTTATGAACCTCGCCATGCATAAAGGTCATGCATAGCTCAGCTATGAGGTCATGTGTGGCTGATGTCACATGTGGCTGGTGTCATGTGTGGCCCAGCTATGATGTCACGTGTGGCTCAGCCTTGATGTCACATGTGGCTCTGCTATGCATTTGTGCATTTTCTTCCCCCATGTTCATGTTTTCCATGTGTGAATCCTGCTTCTGATCTCTGTTCTTTTTCTTCTCTTTGAGGAATTCTTTTAGTATTTCCTACAAGGTCAGTCTACCGGCAACAAATTTAATTTGTATTTGACTTTCTGCTAAAGATTAAACAATATTCTAACAGAAATGAATAATGCATTTAAATAAAGTTTTTCCTGGAATTCTGATGTCCTTATCTGCCCTTATTTGTTCTCTGCTTTTCCCGTTAGTGTTCTTAGCCTATGTATTAATTGGTTTTGTGTTGTAACAAAATACCCAAGGTGGTTCACTTACAAAGATAAACGGTACAGTCAGCCTGGTGTTTTGGAGGCTCAAGACCAAGACAGGCACAGGCTTTGGGCCTCTGGAGAGGCTGGAGAACAAGGCAGAGAAAACTGCAAACAGATGGGTTCAGAAGGGAGAAAGAGACAGACTGGGGTCCACATACCCTCTCAAGGACATGATCCAGTGACATGAGGATCTCCCGACACCCGCCTGACAAAGCTTGCCCTACCTCCCACTCATGCCTCTCTGACACATGACCTTTGGGAAATCACATCCACACTGTAGTGGCAGTGTCAATCACAGACCATCCCCGACCGGCAGCCATTTTCCTGTTTTATCTGCTACTTCATCGCTGGCTGTTTTATCTGCTACTCCATCGCTGTCTACTAGCTGTGGATTCGCCTCTTTATATGTCTCGTGATTGTTAGTGGCTGCACAGGATGTGCCTGGTCAGAGGAGCCTCGGGAAACCAGTGTTTGGTGACACGGTTGGCACAGTTGCATGGAGGGAAGGCGTTCTGTTGCCTTGCGCTTGGGTCTCGTCAGGTCATTTTGAGCCCCTGGCTGTGACCTTGACCCATGCTCTACTCCTTTTTCTTCTGAGGTGAAAAAGAAAGGCTGGAGGGCTAAATGTTTTTGTCTTGCATCTTTCTGGCCAGTTGGGATCTGTAAAACTCTAAGGGCTTAGTAGATGTTTTCTTTGATAGCGAGCTTTGGTTTTCTGTTCTAGGGATGGAAGCTAAGGTGTCACTGCCAACCAAGATGCAGCTAAGAACAGCATTTTGGGCATATTTATTTTTTTCTTCTCTTTTTCTCTCTCTCCTCTCTCTAAGACAGGGTCTCATTATGTAGCTCTGACTGTCCCGGAGCTCACTTTGTAGACCAGGATGGCCTTGAACTCACAGAAATCCACCTGCCTAAAGATCTATCTATCTATCTATCTATCTATCTATCTATCTATCTATCTATCTACTGTATTTGTGGGTATACACACACACACACACACACACACACACACACACACACACACACACACACACCAGAAAAGAACATCAGATCTCAGATCTTTTGGATTTGATTTGGAGTTGGTAGCAGTTGTGAGCTGTCATGTGGGCGCTGGAAACAGAACCTGGGTTCTCAGCAAGAACAGCCAGTGCTCTTGATCCCTGAGCTAATTCGCCAGGCTCTTTCTGGCATATTTCATAGTGGCCCCTTCCCTTCTCCCCCTTCTGGAGCACAAAGGGATTTCCCCCAGGAGAACTTGCTGTAGGTAAAACTTTCTGCCGACTCAGTGCCCGGCTCTCCCTCATCAGACTCATCCACACTGAACCCGCGACAAGGCTCAATTATTTTTCATTGTGCCTCACCCCAGGACTGGTCTTTGCAGAGCTGTCTGCGCATGGGTTAAGTGACAATTCTGGATCTCTAACTTGGAGAGCTGCAGTTTTTCATATGACGTCACTTCTCTGATAGAATAAAAAAGAGTTGTTGTTTTTGTTTTTGTTTTTTTGGTTTTCATTTGTTCAGCTTTTGGCTTGTGGTTAGAGCAGAATGATCACACATATGCTGGACTGAAAAACTGGAAGTCTGTTTGGTTAAAAAGTCAAGGTTGTGCAAAGCGTGTGTGTTAGCGGCAACCTCAACTCTTGCGGGTTAATGTGGAGCTGTGTGTGGCCCCTGGGGGTGTGACCGGCTTGACCGTATTGCAGGACGCATTCCTTACTCTCCTGGTTAGTGTGACAAAATACGCAAGAAGAGTCACTTAAGGAAGGGTTGGTTTTGTCCCAGCTTGAGTCTACAGTCCGTTACCCTAGGCTTGTGCAGGAGTCCGAGGTGGCCGGCCACACTGTGTCTGCAGTCAGGAAGCAGAGGACAGAATGCCTTTGCTCAGCTCCCTTATTATATACACCGCAGGACCCCGCCCACGGGATGGTGCCACCCACAGTTAGGGCAACTGTTTCCACGACAGTCAACCCACTCCAGAAACTACCTTACAGACACGCCCAGAGGTTTGTCCCCGAGGAGATTCTAGACTCTGTCAGGCTCATGGTCAATATTAAGCATCACATGAGGAATTAGAAACATGACCCTACAGGACTAGGAGTTCAGAGGTAACCTCAGCTACAAAAGGGGTTTGAAGTTAGCCTGGGCTACAAAAGCAGATCCAGGACAGTCAGGGCTACACAGAGAAACCCTGTCTCAAAAAAACCAAAAAACCCCAACCAAACAAAAGCAAAAGAGGAAAAAAAAAAAAAAAGAAATGTGGGCCCCAACTCTCAGAATGTAGGTGACATTTTGTAGAGACCCCAAACCAAACAAAACGGAGGTTCTGTAGTAAGGAAAACCGGGTTTACAGTAATGTTCCAAACAAGAGAAACAGAGAATCATAGCTCTTTCGTAGGATGCTGGGCGGCTTGGAGACACCGCTTTGTAATAATGGCAAGCTGCTCGTGCTGTACTGGAAAGCAGAACACAGTGCATGAACAGGACAAATGGAATGAGGCACAAGGGAAGCCTAGCAGAAGAGGCTGGAGGGCGCCCTGGGCAGCCCCCCACCCCCAAAAGGCAGTCTTGCATTGCTCTCTGCTCACTCCTCCTGCATCGCTCCCGCTTGGATCACTCTTACGATGGCAAACTGTCTGAAATACTGCCTTAAACCATCCATCTTGTGCTAAGGGAAATGAGAGGCCCAGTTGACTCACACCCATGGTCAGGCCCACAGATGGTCTGGACAGTGTCCAGAGGTGTGTGTGTGGGGGGTGTGGGTGACAACCTGAAGGCTCCAGAGCTGCCTCCTCAGAGAGCGTGTTCAGAGGCTCTGTTACTTCAAAGAATAATGATGGGGTCACAGTGGCACCCTGAGACTACCCGGGGGAAAGGGAAGGCAAGGAGCAGAAACAGGAATCCTGAGGAAGTCCCAAACATGCAGGCCACTAACTTCAGTCCTCACAGAAAGGAACGATGGCTGGCTGTAAACTGTGTTGCACCTAGACCGGCAGCCTGCGGACTCCATGAGCCACTTGCCGCTGGCATGGTTTGAGCCCCGCTGGGGACTGCTGAGCTCTCATTGTGCGCTGAAGCTGGAGTCTAGGGCCTCAGGCTTCCCTTTCCATGTGTTAGAGAGGAGGAGAGAGCTGGAAGGATTCATCTCTTCACAGGGCTGACAGTAGAGCCCGAGAGCAGGTTCAATGTCCTGCACTTGCTGTGTGGTTTTCAGTGCCTTGTCCCCTGTGCCTCTGTTTTCTCACCTCATCTGTAAAGGAGAGACACAGGATGGCTGCGGGTCGTAAGTGGGAAACTGTGTACAGGGCTTGGAGGTGGGCCTTGCAAGCCTAGAAAATGGAGTCACTGTTGTTTCAAAGCAGCAGTGATTCCAGCGTTCTCCGCTCCACGCTCGGCTCCCGGTTCCCTCGTTTCCTCACGCCTCGCCAGCCTCACGTTTGGAATTTTGGCGTCTGTTGGTCAAAAGTCATAGTCTGTATTTGGCTGAACTAATTTTATCCCAGATGACTGCTGACGGACGAAGTCGACAGCCCTCCCTCCTCCATGCCCGGGTCTCCTGGAAGGTGCGCCTTCTCTAGGTCGTCTGTTCTCTTAGCTTGGTTGCCTTGGCCTTCCTCCCCACGCTGGTGCCCAGAATGTAATAACAAATCCCCATCTCCCAGCCAGCAGCCGGGTGCCCAGGAATTCAGGCCCAGCCTGCCTAGCCCTGCTCACCAGCGCATCTGTTTCCAATCAGAGTATAAAGCACATTCTTTCTGCTAGCAGGCAGGCGTGCAGGCCGAGAGCCTGGGGACCACGCTAATTGATTGCTAAATGATCTTGTCATTTCCAAAAGAGGTCTCTAGG